TCTAACGTTTTACAGATTGTCTATTTGTTAATAATCACCACAGTTAGAACTCTTCATCCATGTTTGTTGTTAAATTCCAATACATTCTTTTACGCACACACACACACACACACACGCACACGCACACGCACACAATAATAAAGGGTCAAAGTTGACGTAAGCATAAGAAATGGTTAAAAAAAACAATTTAATTAGTACTAAAAATTTTATCCGATTGAAAAAAAAAAAAAACATTCAACGGATGTAGTAGTAGTAGTAGTAGTAATAATAATAATGATTTTCAAATCTAGTCTTTAAATCATGCGGAATTTTTTTTTTTTTTTTTTATTTGTTTTCATTCAAGATAATAATGTACGATGATGAAAAACATGAGAGAAAGCACACGAAAACTTTAATAATAATAATAATAATAATAATAATAATAATAATAATAATAATAATAATAATAATAATAATAATAATAATAATAATAATAATAATAATAATAATAATAATGATAATGATAATAATAATAATAATAATAATAATATTGTATCAGACAAGGTCTGACTCGGCAATTCTCGTGAGATTGCATTATTTATATATATAAATATATTTAATAAAATATACAATTTTCTCTTTTTAAATTAAAATGAAAAAAGGTTGTGTAGAAATTTCATATATAAAAAAAATAATAATAATATTATTAGTATAAAGAAAAAAAAAGTACGTTTTAATGTCATTTTTTTTTTCATGTTATTTTTTTTTGTAAAATAATAATAATAATAATAATAATTCGTATGGTTTAATGAAATTTTAATTAAACAACTATATGTTATTTAAATTCAAATTTCTTTTTCCTATTTTTTTTTTTCGATTAAAAATCCATTTTAAAATTTTTTATTTATTACTAATTTAAATTTAAATTTATATATAAATTATTAAAACTATCATTATTATTATTATTATTTCGTATTAAACATAAATATAATATTTTATTAAATTGTTGTTATATGTACATGTTTTCGACAAAATAAAATAGTGTTAATAATTTATTAATAAATGCTTGTTAAAAAAAAAAATA